TCTCGATCGATATCGACGATAAGCTCTACGAGAGAGCCTTAGAAAAGCGATACGACTCTAAACCCGCCGGAAAGGCAGGCTACCTTCCCTATAAGGATAACAGACCGAAGGGCAATAACTTCGTCTTATACGGGAACCGCTAGCTACGGGACGACTATAGTCCACGACTAATAGAGCTCGACGCAACCTAGCAGGGTCGCCGATTTACTAAAAAAGGCAAAGGAAAGCCTAAGAATTTAGGAAGCATAACTTATTATATATATAGTAAGGAAGGCCACATCGTAAGGAATTGCCGCGATAAGAATAAGGTGCATCGCGCATAGTTTAATATAATATAACGAAAGAACGACGTGGGTTAAGGAACTAAGAAAGAACCCTCGACGAGTAATTAGCCGATTATACCCCCTAACGACATAGGACTACCTAAATAGGAGTCCCCTCTAAAGTTAGAGGACGAACTACGCCCGTCCTAGGAACGACCTTTAATACTTTAGCGTATCCGGAAACTCCTCGACGAGCGAGAYAGTCTAGAAAACYAACTCTAGGAGGTCCTCGATACGTAACGAGGCCTCCGCGACGACTACTTTACTACYRGGAATAYCGAGARCCTCGGATAATATAAYACTCTCGGGYAATACGCTATCTAGCTTAGCGAGTAGGGGAAGAACCTCGAGAAYATCTATTAGGAATTRCGATAGAAACTACGAGGAAGAAAGGAAACTAGGCTTATCGGAATAATAGCTAGACGAGTTCTATATAACATCGAGAAGGAGTAGCGTATCGGACACGRAAGCCTTTATTAGCGATTCTRCTACGATAACACCTATAACACTTATATGTCCTTAAAAAGGGACGTAGGGTTTTAGCTATCTACACTACGCGGATCGGTATACCCGCGCCCTAAGGACGATAATAAGACAAACTAACTCGATGTAGAAAAAGACGAATCCTGTTCCGAGAACAAGGAAAACTATCCTCCCGCGTTTAGCGATAAGGACGAATAGGACGAGTTAGTAGAACGTTCCGAATTAGAGGAAGCCTCCTCTAAATACAACGAAAACGACGACACCTCCGATACCGACGAGGAATCCGACCTAGAAGTGCTCTACTTTACTATAGACGCCCCTATACTAATAATAAAAATGGTTAAATATATAGTAAAGAACTACGAACACATCTTTCCGATTATTAAGGGAAGACGTCACCTTAACCCCATTAAATTAGATGCTATATTTATTAGCATTCGCGCTATGTTCTAGACATACAGACGTATAGAGATTAGCTACGACTTTAGCACACTAGTTACGGAAAGGATTCCTATCGGGAGTATTATCTTACTACACGGGTACATTATACCTAATAACTAAGTAGTAAGTAAGGAGATGCGATAGGCCGTTCGCGACCTCGGAGAAAGATATCGCTTAGTATAGCGATGTTAGTCAGAATTTGCCTATAACGACACAGCGAGAGAACAACAACTCGCTACTATAGTAAAGGACACGGAACGAAAGATCCACGCATAGCTAGCTAAAGAAGCTAGCAAAACCCAGTCGGGAAAAGGATCGGCTCTTAGGGAATAAGCGTCCCTAGAGAGTACTACAACACCGAAAATGCTTAAGCATTAACAACAGTCTTTAGAACACAGATTTTCGTTAATAGTTATCGGCTATAAGCTATAATAGATTCCGAAGCGAGCGGGAACTTTGCCTCCGAATTATTTGTTATACGACATAGGATCGCTACCTAGCGTAAAAAGATAGGGTATAAATTAATCGCGGTCGACGGATTATCCTTACCTAGCGTAGAGCGAGAGACGATACCGCTACTACTTACTATCTAACGGCACTATAAGGAAATTGTCTTAGATGTTACTAACATAGCTAGTTATAATATCGTTCTAGGCATACCTTAGTTAAGAAAGCACAACCTAGTTATCGACTAGAGAAGAGGAGTACTTATATTYRAGWAATACGACTACGTAGTCGATATTCTACCTACGCACCGGTAGCGTACGGTAGTAGATAAGACTAGGAGATAGCTAAACTATATATAGCTCTAGTCGGACAGGACCGGAGAACCGGATCTAGCTCGGATAGACATTCCTAAGGGTTAGGGAAGTTGCTAGGTTACGAGTAGTAATAGAAGTCACGCACTATCTAATATCCCTAAAGAGTATTAGAAATAGAAACGACTCTTTTAGGAAGAGGAAGGACTAGATGCCCTACCTAAACATTAACCCTAGGACTACCGAATTAATATTTAGCCCGGTAAAGAAGCCCTATAGGGACCTATATATTCGCTATCTACGAAAGAGCTACACGCGCTCGACAAATAGCTAAAGGAGAAACTAGCTAAGGGATAGGTTCGAAGATCTACCTCCTCGGTAGGAGCTCCTATTCTCTTCGTCCCTAAAGCAAATAAGGACGACCTACGACTCGTTATAGACTATAGACGTCTTAACGAGGTTACTATTAAGAACAGATACCTATTACCTAACATCGAAGAGAGTTAAGACAGACTTATAGGAGTAGACTAGTTTACGAAGATCGACCTATAGGACGCCTTCTATACTATCCGCATAGCGAAAGGCGAGGAATATAAAACTGTATTTAGGACACGCTATAGACTATATAAGTTTCTCGTTATGCTAATAGGATTAACAAATGCGCCGGCATCTTACTAGGATCTCGTTAATAAGACCCTCCGAGACTTGCTCGACGTATACGTTATCGCCTATATAGACGACATTCTCGTCTATACTAAAGGAGAACTTAGCAAATACATTAAGTAAGTCTAAGACGTCTTTTAGCGACTTATAGACGTTAGATTTAAGACAGCCCCTAAAAAATGCGAGTTCTATAAGAAAGAAGTGAAGTTCCTAGGATTTATTATTAGCACGAAAGCAATCCGCATCGATCCTAAGAAAACAGAGTTAATCTATAGCTAGCCGCTACTTAAGAACGTTAAGGACATACAGTTATTCCTTAGACTAGCTAACTATAACAGAAAGTTTATTAAGGACTACTCTAAGATCGCAAAACCACTTACGGAGCTCACGAAGAAAGATAATAAATAGATCTAGATAGACTAACACTAAAAGGCATTCTAGACGCTAAAAGATCTATATGTATCCGCACCGATACTTTAGCTTTTCGACACTACAAAGGAGGTAATTATCGAGACCGATGCCTCCGATATAGTAATAGGAGCGTGCCTTACCTAGGAGCACGATAGAAGCAGGCACCTAGTAGCCTATTATTCTAGGAAAATAACACCCGTAGAAGAGAATTACGATATATATAATAAGGAGCTTCTTGCGATTGTCGCAGCCCTACTATACTAGAGAGTTTACACGGAAGGAGCACCTAAACTTACGATTCTTTCTAATTATAAGAATCTAACTTACTTTACTACGACAAAGTTACTAACCCGAAGGCAGGCCCGCTAGTCGGAGCTGCTCGGTTAGTACAAGTTCGAAATCCGATACACTCCGGGAAAGGACAACGGTCGAGCCGACGTACTAAGCCGACGAAGTAACTACATAGACGGGAAGGAACCCGTGCGATAACGAGTACTAAAGGCAAACCCTAACGGAAGCCTTAGTTCAGACTCGAAAGAATTCAACTACATTATATAAGTGGTATAGGACATAGAAGAACAGTTCCCTATTAGCTAAGGAAAATACTAGGTCCCGAAGGACCGAGAAGAAGAATACATTCGACAACATTATAACTATCTATAATACGGACACCTAGGAATAACTAAAACGGTAGAACTTATCTAGAGAAGCTTTAGCTTTCTACAAATGCGCTAGCGCGTTCTTAAGTACATTAAGCGCTACGAGCACTATTAGCGAAACAAGGCTAAACGACACGCTAAATATAGACATATCTAGTTTAGGACACTACCTAAACAGCCCTAGGATAAAGTTACGATGGACTTTATAACTAAGCTACCGATCTCCGAGGATCGAGCTACTAAGGTCAACTACGACATAATACTCGTTATAGTTAATCGACTTACGAAATATGCACACTTTATTCCTACTAGTAAAACCTTTACTATAGAGCAACTCGAATACCTTGTTATAGATAGACTTATTCGATACTACGGATTCCCGAAGGTCTTTATTACCGACAGAGACAAGCTCTTTATATCGAACTACTAGAAGACACTTATCGGAACCCTTAGAATTAAGCATAAGCTATCGACAGCATACTATCCTAAGACCGATAGATAAACGGAACGAATGAACTAGACACTAGAGTAGTACCTTCGACATTACGTTAATTACGCGTAAGACAACTAGGCCGCACTGTTGCTAATAGCACAGCTAGCGCTTAATAACTAACAGTCGGATACGACGAAGACTACGCTATTCTTTTCGAATTTTGGTCGAAACCCGAACCTTTTCGGAGAACCTTCGTTATACCTATAGGCCGAACGGGCTATAGTTGCATCCGAGGACCTTAAGGATCTCTATAACGAGTTAGAAAACAGGATCCTAGATTCATAAAAAACTATAGCTATACCGCGAAATGCTAAACGAAAAATGGCACCTTAGCTAAAGAAGGGGGATAAGGTCTACCTCCTTATAAAGAATCTGAAGACAAGAAGGAAGACTAAGAAACTAGATTAAGTTAAGGTCGGGCTATTTTTAATTAACGAACTACGAGGAGTAGTTAACTACCGCCTTAAACTACCGCCTAATATAAAGATCCACCCGACGTTTTATATCTTATTATTAGAACCCGTAGACGCCGGTACTCTATACTAAACTACATTCCATTTCCAGCTAGAAGAACAAGACACCTAGGAAGTCGAGAAGATCCTATAATAATAGGGTTAGGAATATTTAGTCAAATAGAAAGGGTTCGACGATTTAGAAAATACCTGGCATTATAAGAAGGACCTTAAGAGCTGCCGCTAGCTTCTTAAACAGTTCTATTAGATAAGCTAGAAACCTCCTAGAAAGGATCCGAGGCGCCTCCGATAACCGCCTAATCCTTAGGAGTTAACTTAAGGACATCGGAGAAGATAAAAGGATTATCCGAGACTTCTATACCCGACTCGATCTCGGAAGACAGAAAATGAGCCTCTACGGCCTTAGCCTCCTCTAGCTTATCTAACTCCTCTACGACGGCGTCGTCGGTACGACGCTCTACGAGTCGTAGTTGTTTCCGAAGGCGCACCTTACGCATCTTCAACTTTATTTCCTCCTCCTCGATACGCTCGACATCGACGCGGAGCTAGTCGCGTACATCGCGCAGTTTTTCCTATTTAGGACGCGACACTTTAACGTCGCAATCTTTACAACCCTTCCGAATACACTCGGAACACTTCCTAGACCTAGGACTAACGATGCACTTTTTCTTTAGACCTACGGACGGCCGCTTAGCCTTGCGACAGTTTAAATAGGGCGCTATTTCGAATCTAGAAGCTTCGGTTTCTTCGGCGAGACGAGTCCGACGTTTATAGGAGGAAGAGGACATGTTTACGAATTCGCGAAAGGAAGGTTATTATAGTTAAGTAAGCTCCGGGACGGAGCTAGACTAGAAGGGGGATAGTATTACGGAATAGTCCCGCGGGGACTTCCTGTAGCGATAATCCCGTATAGGAAAGACCGCTAGAGATAAGAGAGATAGGGAAGACCGTAGGACTAATAATCCTATATAGGCGCGCGAGATTAGRAYAGAGCGGGCAGGATAGGATCGCTAAGAGTGCGACTAGGTTAGGTAACTAGGGCGCTAAGCCGAGCGCTCCCTCCTCGACCGCTTAGACTAATTAGACGCCCCACCTAAGCGCTTA